TGTTAGTTACACTATTTATAACTCTAACGACTGTACGAGTTTGGATGAAGATTGGTGGAGCGATAGATTAAAACAAAGAAAGGACATAGGATACTTTACATACGATCGAAAAATAAAAAATAATAAGTTGATCAAATACAAAATCCTATCTACTGTCTTTAAGGAACAGAGTTCGCCCGGTCAGCTATAGATTTCTAATTCTGAAACTAACGCAGACGAAGTCGCGGGCAAAAACCAGTGTACATATATAAGAAAGTTAGTTACGCTATTTATAACTCAAGAATGGCTGTACCTATTTCATTGAAAATTTCTGGGAAATTAGCTAAGAATCAGGAGATAGATATAGGGTTTTTCATCACTTTTGACTGAAAAAAAAAAACATAATAAAATGAAAATTCTATTCATCAATGTCTATATTATGATGCTTACTACGTACGGAATATTTTGTCTGATTATCAAGTTGATAGGACTAAGGAAAAACTAGTTAAGTATAATTTCGTATATTACACATTTTCACATTTGAAGTTTTCCGTTCCGTCGTACATTAAGGTTTACCGCAAGACGTCAGAATTGCTTCATATAAATTCGGCCAATGAAATCAGAATCTGTATTAAATTTACTGTTGCTGTAATCTTACTCCTAGTGTCATCGTCACTACACACGCAGCGTCAACAGTTCATCATTCATAACTCTGGAAACTACTTAACTTACTGTTTAACTTTAAAAGATATGTTTAAATAAAGTCTTGTGGACTACTAGACATAGTTTTGTATATATATAATTCATTTTATTACTTGTCCGTCCGTCACTAACTGTTTGGGGAGCGATAAACTTCTCCTTTCAATAGTTTGTAGTCGTTGGAAACTTGTCATTTCTTCTGGGAGTATTTTAGTGTCTTTTTTATGACATACGACAAACTACTTTCATTCTTACTACATGTTTGATACGAACTGAATACTTGACGTTTTACGTCACACATTCGTCAAATAACTTCTATATTTCGTAATCTTTATGTGCAAAATACCTTGAGACTGTCAGTACTACGTGCATGTGTCAATTCTAAGTGTAGTTTAATATTAGTTCTAGCGTGGTGATGATAAAAAAAATGAGAGAAAAGATAAAAGAAGAAAAATGCTACTTCTAGCAGACTCACTGGACAAAAAAATCACAAAATTGTAGCTACTTCTTCATCATATTGTGCGAAGTTGTAAGAAAGATCTCAACTAATTAATAGACATTGGTTTGACCTAACGTCTATCATAAATCATTCATTACCAATATTTCTGTTTTATGAAAAAGCATTGCTACATATATACTATTACTAAAATAAATACATTATTCCTGTTACTTTAAATTTTATACAAATAATTGAATAAACAGAAAAGAGAGTAACAAGACATTGGCCAAATCTATATGAAAATGCCACTAACTAAATTATTTAGTTGTTTGAAACCATTAATTAAGCTATTAGTGAAAAAACACTTTAAAAATATTCTATTCATTTAAATAAAACCAATATTTTCGGATGACGTCGCGTTATTTTTCATGCTTCATGAGAATTTTCATCTCGTCTGTCCGTCACGGTAGTAAAGTAACCGAAACGTTGTCGTATGTAGTTAAAAAACGCGTAGTATACGAAAATATTAGTTTCATTTAAATGAATACTTAAAATCTTGCATATTTACCTTATTCATGGTAAATTTATGAAGCTTCGCTGATGATGGTATTCTAGTAGACTTGAGGAAGTCTTGAGATTAAAAACAAAAGTTTGTAGCTCACAGAATAACTAAGAGGCTTAAACTTTTCACTATTAAGACTCCAAATATCATAAAAATGTATGTAGTTCACACTTAAAAATTACTAAACTGATAAGTATAGGACTTGAAAAACTTTACAGAGAAACAAAGAAATAAATACAATAACTTAAATATTATACAAAAAATAATAAAACTATTTCAATATTATTAAATATTTGAAAACACGGATAAACTTTTGTTATTTTCTTTGTAACACAAACAATCTTTTGACTGAAAAAGTTTCTAGCCAATATATATGACGAAAAATGTTAACAAAACCTGTTTATTATCTTTTAATTACAAACATATATATTATGTGTATGTATGATATAGTGTAAAGTTTATTTTATATTTTCGAGAGCCTCTTAAAAGTCAAGTTGGTTAGACTGAAGCGACCGACTCGGACCACGAAACTACACGGACTGATAGAAGATACGTAGGAATTGAGTTGCCATATATAAAAATAGTTTTGATATCTTTATATATATAGACATATATATATATATATATATAATTCTTCTGTGCGTGTGTATGTCACTGAACTTCTCTCAAACGACTGGACCTATTTTTATTAAATTTTTTGTGTGTGTCATGTAAAATTTTTGTGTGTGTTCAAGGGGATCTGGGAATTGTTTAGATTCACAATTTTGTCCGCTGGACAATGTTTTTTTACTTAATTTTTAATTTATTAGTAGTTGTTGATATAAACGTTTTTTTTGACATTAGATTTGACAACTAACTAATATGTCAATCATTTAGTCGCACTTCAAAACACGAAGATTTTTGGCTTTAATAGGTAAACTCCAAAAATATAAAAAAAAAACGTAACAGATATTTCTTGATTATAGGGCGATACGAAGTTCGCCGAGTCTTCTAGTTTATATATATAATAACATGAAATTCAAGGCTAGTTTAATTTTATGCGTACTCTTTCGCACCTTATTTGATAAGCGTGAAATAACAAGACTATAATATCAAGAGTCAGTTTAATTGAGTGTATTGCAGTACTGATTAATAAAATCAAATGACATAGTATTTATATCAGGCACAATTTAACTTAAATATATTGAACTAGAATAATGAACTAGAAAAATTTAATTGTGCTTGGAGAGACTCAGTGTGGAAGAATTGGAACGTCGTAATGTTGAATTGAAAACAAATGGAGTAGAAATTGATTTTGAAGGAATTTTTAAAAACAAACTTTATTAACATTATTTACGAGTCACTATTGATTGCATGCGTTCGAGCTACATGCATTACCTCAAGCTCTGTCTCTTTTTATTCTCCTTTCATGAGCGTTGAACGTTTAACGCAACCTTGTTGGACGTCGCGTAAGATGTTTCAGTTCAAAATATAAATTATCATTAAATCAATAATTTTACACAAATCATCATTTAAAAATCTATTAACACCACAAATATCTTAACTTATATGTATTAATTTAAGTAATTTTAACATAATATTTCAAAAACCTTCCAAATTTCAAGTAAAATTAATAACATGGCAACATTTACATCACAATGCAGCCTTCACAGAGCTTGTTAGTCATCTCACACGAGATGAAACTCTACTCCTTTGTCATAAAATCCATTATTGACTGTAGCTTGGATCCATGTTGCGTATTTTTGGGCATTTTGACGATAGCTTTCAAATACAGATAGTTCAATATTAATTAAAACATATATATATGTTTGTGTACACATTATATTTGATGAAATTGAATTTACTTACAATATATATGTCTTTCTGTTTGTTACAAGTCATCTCTTAAATGGCTGCGTCGATTTTGAAACGACTTTCACTAGTAGATAGCGTATATAATGAAGAGTGACTTAGATTTTTGTTTTAAAACGTTTCATTTATTTTAATACAGTAATATTATCACAAATTAAGTCCTTAGATTCAAATAATGATGAATTTCACCCAAAATCAAACTACATACTTTGTCATTTAACGTTCACTCTACGTTGTACGTTACCACATTATCGTTAACGCGAGAACTGTTAGTTTCATCGTATATGTACATTAATTCTATTCATTCTATCGAATAATTGTGTTACATAAAGAGAGGAGCTTGGACAGTGGAGGTGAGCGTTTAACGCGTTAGATAGGGTCCCTTAAACCTACACCTGGGTCACAACTCACAAGTCCCAGTCACTGTTGAAGCTCCTCTCACTAAAACGATGGACCCGACACACGCACAGTGAATACATGGAATGATGAGGGGTTTCGTCTCAGTAACATAATCATTAGGACGCCATGAAAATCTGAAAATATTAGTTTTATTTAATTGAATACTCGTGAAATCTCATATAAATACATTTTTGACATTTTAATGACCACTTAAAATTAATTATAACAAAATAAAAACTGTTATTTCTCAATAAACAAACTTAATTGATTAAAATTAAATCAAAAACCTTCATATGGTTGTGTTATAAATATTAATTATTCTGTGAATCACAATTTTCATGAAAATGCACTTAAAAATTTAACTCGAACGAATTTTCGGTCAGATGAAAGTCAATTGTTAATTGTCTTACGGAAAAGCTTCGTTTGTGAAACAGAATACTGTAACCTTACTCCTAGTATGATCGTCACTACACACGCAGCGTCAACAGTTCATCATTCATAACTCACTCAGTATTAACGTATTGAATGACAGACGGCAGACGAGTAGTGTGGAGTGATGGAGACTAGTGGTAAGCGTATTAAAATTGCGATTATTTTTGCCAAAACAGAAAGTCTATTAAATGAAGAAAACATTTTTAATTTAGTTCAGCTGTAAAGTTTTTAATTTGGGTGTTTTTAAACTAGACATAGGCAAATTTAGACTATATCTCAACAAAAATACATTAATATTTTTCATAAGCGAGAAGGAAGTTTTTAGTAAAGAACTGTTATCAAAGTCTCGAAGTAAATTATTGCAGAAAACACAGTTATCATAAAGGAAATAAATATAGTTTTTTTATTTTGGAATATATTTATTACTATTGTGTTATGAAATTATATAATTTTCTATTATATTATTATTAACAAATTATCAAAACAATAATAATTTTCTTTCTAATGTAACAAACGAAACGCAACTCTCAAATCCTGATATCATGTCTGTCAAAGTCATTATTAAGTCACAACAAAGAATTTAATAACTCGAATGTAATATAAGAATTATTAATTACAATGGTTTAAAATATAATAAAAATGTCATTCCCTAAGATAGAGGGATATATCGTGACTGAAAAACTCGGCTCTGGAAGTTATTCCACCGTGTACAAAGCGTATACAAAGGTACAGAAATTAATATTGTTTACCAACTTAATCTCTGCAATTAAATAATTTTTACTTCTCATAGTTCGTTTCTTATATAATTATTGCCTCAAAGAGAATTTACAGACAATTGTAATACTTAAATCTTATGTTTTAAAAAACGTATTAACACAAACACACATTTTAAGTATTGACCTTTCTTATAAAGAAAATTGTAATAATATATCATCTTCTTTCCGTCAATTTCCCAACTTTAGCCAGGGTCTGCCTTACATGTTGTAAATAGTTTCGGTTAATTGTTTTTATGACCGGTTGCCGGCCTGACATCAACCCTCTTTGTAATAATACATATAATTCCATTTAAGGTCGGTGCAAGATCAGTAGTGGCTGTAAAATGTGTGGATAAATCGAGAGTAAAGCATTCCGGAGCTGCCATCGATAATTTGATTACCGAGATAAGACTTCTAAAGACGTTACGACATCCACACATAGTACATATGAAGGAATTCACTTGGGATGCAAAGTTATTCAACTATATATATAATAATTTGAACATAGTAATTATTAGTTAAATGAAATCAATGTTAATGTACTTGTATGAAATATATAACTTGTATTGATTAATTTATTGATGCGATCGGGATTTAAACTTGTTATATCTTGAATTACATTCCGATCTTTACCAAATTAACTATGGTGGTATAACTTAAATGTGAATTAAGTATTCTATATATAAATCTTCTTCTTCTTCCTGGTAATTTCCCAACTTTAGCCAGAGTCTGCCTCATATTCTATATATAAATGATACATGAATAATATTAAAGGTCCTTTTAGTGATGATAAGAATTATATTTAAATCTTATCGAATTTTACATAACTTGGTTTGATCACAAATAAGTTTATTTTTAATATTATACATATAAGGAAGTAGAATATTTCTGGTACATATTAACTCACTAATGTCATGCTAATTCTTAATTCAATGTATATTTTGTAATACATATAACAGTAACTCCCATAATAACTAACAAAATATTCCCAAAAACACATTGAATACTTCAATATATTCTACATTTGCAAATTATTGTATCTTTTATATATTTTTACAGAAATATCTACATTATAACCGAATACTGCTGTGGCGGGGATTTGTCTAAATATATCCACAAGTATGGCAGAGTTCCCGAACATCAAGTGAGTTAGAATTATCTACTAATTATTACTTTGTCAACTGGAAATTACTTCAATTAATATATAATAACAAATCTTCATAATTAAAAGTAGTGTAAGTTACTCCAGATTAGACCTATGTCGAGTAAAAGTCACACGAAAATTTTTGCATAATCGTTTTAGTGTTTATCAGGAACAAACATACAGATAGCACAATTATCTCTTCTACCTGGCAATTTCTAAGCTATAGCCAGGGTCTGCCTTACATGTTGTGAATAGTTTTGAATGAGAGGCGGGCTTTTTAACCACTAGGCCACCACTAACTTTTACAGATAGCACAATTATATACATACATATACAGGTGACTGGTGAATTACTATCCATACTTGAGGACGTGATATTTGACGATCACATATGACAAAATAAAAATTAATATAACATAAATATTAATTAACTTCTAAGTAAAGTTAACCAAAAGTTATGTAATTAATTACGCATCGTGTGAACACCCTACAGATTAGGTATACACACACACACACACGCGTGCGGCGGCGTGGTGTTGTATCAGCACGCCGCCGCACGCGTCCACACTTGGAACACTTGGATCGTGTCCACACTTTATTTATTTATACGGAAATTTGGTCAAAAATTAAGTACCTAATTTTTTTACATAATTCGAATGAGAATCATGTACCGATTATTCTCCTTAAATATTGATAGTAATTCACCAGTCACCCTGTATAAGTGTAACAAAAAGTATGTATGTATGTGTACAAATTTCTCAAAAATCACTCAACAATTTATTATGTGGTTTTATAGTGACATAAAGAGTCATTTCTTTATTAAAATATAATTAGATTTATCTATAATTTTATGCTTTCATATATTTATTTTCACATTTCAGGTGTTATATTTCTTACAACAACTAGCCTCAGCTTTGAAATTCTTGAGAGAAGAAGGTGAATAATACATATGTATTATCAAAAAATTTAATCAAATCTCAATTTTCAATTTTTTTTTACCATTTTTATCTCGTCTTTGGATAGGTGTTGTACACATGGATTTGAAGCCTCACAATCTTTTACTTCACAAAGACTCGGATAACAAATATTTATTAAAAGTAGCTGATTTTGGGTAAGTTTTTTTAATATTTTATATAAATTATAGAGAATTATTATAACTAGAGAGTATAATACACATGTATATGACTTTAGATGTAGAAATATTTTGATGCATACTTCCATAATATTATATATAGTAAAAATTAGGCATGTATTCGAGTAATAATATATGTATACATTTCATTTGCAAGAAAAGTATGAATCATAGTTATAAAATAAATAAATAAATACTTAAATCATTATATATATACTAGCTGACCTGGCAAACTTTGTTTTGCCATATAAAACAATAGGGCTTGGTGATATCTATTTTGGGTTGTATGTACATATGTTTAATGCTACCTTATAAAAGAATAAAAACAAAAAATTTCGTCCGAAAATAAAAAAGATATTTAAGTGAACAATCCTTATGACTTAGGGGTATGAAAAATAGATGTTGTCTGATTCTCAGAGCTACTCAATATGTTCACAAAATGTCATCTAAATCGGTTTAGCCGTTTCGGAGGAGTTCTCTGTCTAACACCGCGACACGAGAATTTTATATAATATATGATATATGTATATATATACATATATCTACCTGGCAATGTCCTACCTTTAGCCAGGGTCTGCCTTACATTTTGTGAATAGTTTTGGCTAATTGTTTTTTACGACCGGCCGCCTGCCTGACATCAACCCTCTTTGGGAATGCATTTATCAGTGATGTCTAAATACTCTTAGAAAGTACATATGACTCGGAAAAATCACATTGGTACTTACTATATTTATATATATAAAATGTGTAATGTGTATGTCTGTCTGTAGGTTTGCGCAGCACCTGACAGAAGAATCAATGAGATCAGTCCGAGGCTCGCCTCTGTACATGGCACCGGAAATGATCCTAGGAAAATATGATGCCAGAGTTGATCTGTGGAGCGTTGGTGAGGATTACATATACTTTAATATGATAGAAGTTTTTTTTTTTATGGGAAAAAGGAGCAACTGAGCAGACGGCCTACTTGCTGATAGGTAGTTACCGTCGCCCATGGACATCCGCAACGTAGATTTGCGGATGTGTTGCCGCCCTTGATTGGGGAAAAGGAGGAGGAAAAGATGGGAAAGGGAGGGAAAGGAAAGGTTGGGAAAAGGGAAAGGGCAACCGGCTCTCTCACTCACTGGACGAAACGCAGCCTTTAAAGACTCCTTTACGCCGATTTTCTGTGAGAGGGTGGTACTTCCCCGGTCGAGCCAGCCCATGTTCGAGCTGTAGTAAATTGACTACAGCTAGGCTCTGCCACCTCTAAAAGTAAAGGAAGTAGCTTGAGATTCTTGTAGAAGAATATATTGTTATAGTGCGTTTGATTTTCTTGATTTAAGCTGAGCTTTTGCATTTGTGTGAGTGTACATGGACAGTATATGTAGGTGTGGTGTAAATTTTTTGAATGTTATCTTCTAGTTTTGAATGTTGAAAACGCAATGTCAAGTGAAAAATAAAATGTATATTTTTTTCAAAAATGTTATTAGTTAATTAATTTTTTTCTTCCATAATATTCATAGTATTTACATCTAGCCTTTTATAAGTTTTGCTTATTTTATAGCACTTATGTTAGGTTATTTAAAATATAATAAAATTTGTTTCCACAAGTTTTTTGTCTAACTCTATTTTTACTTTCACTCACACAAATGCAAATGTCAGCTTAAGTCTAACGAACTATACAATGCTACTGAATAATTATCATTAGATATTTTAACTAACGAAAAGTCATATATATACACTACCTTTAATAATCAAGTTATTGTGTGAATCGCAATAGTTTCTAACCAAAATATGTTTATTTTATATATAAATTCCGATTCTGAGTTAAAAAATAATATATTTTTTTATATAAATAACTTGATTAATATTTATTATATATATTTAAACTCCAACAGGTGTTATTATGTACGAGTGTCTGTTCGGTAGAGCTCCTTACTCATCGGCGACGTTGAAGGAATTGGTGGACAAGATACAAAGACAAGCTCCAATACAGGTAGAAAAAGTAGAATTCTACTCCTTAGAAGAATTACTTCTATGTCAAAAAGCATAATGTAATGTTAGGCAGCATTTAGCTAAGAGAAATTGGTTTTTACTGCATAGGAATGATGAAAATATGGTCTTGGTGTAAGAAACATGAATTTATTGGTCAGATTTCTTTTACCAGACAAATATAAATAGAACTAACACAAAGTCAGTGGTGGCCTAGTGGTTAAAAGCCGGTCTCTCATGCATGAGGGCGCGGGTTCGATCCTGGCAAGCACTAATGTGATTTCTCCGAGTCATATGTACTTTATAAGAGTGTTTAGACATAACTGATTAATGCATTCCCAAAGAGGGTTGATGTCAGGCAGGCGGCCGTTAAAACAATTAGCCAAAACTATTCACAATATGTAAGGCAGACCCTGGCTAAAAGCTGGGAAATTAAGTAGAAAAAGAATATATAAATGGAGCTATCGTTTCTATTGTGTTCCATAGTTATAATAGTTCAAGTTATATTGGTCATTCATCAGATTCCTTCAAATTCCTCGCTGTCCGCGGGCTGTCTTGATCTTCTTACTAGACTGCTACAACACGATCCCAATAAACGCATCTCCTACGAGGAGTTCTTCAACCACGAGTACTTGGACCTGGAATACATGCCTTCAAAGCAGAACTATAATACGGTGAGTGAGGGAGACGGAGCGATGTGTAAGAGAGAGAGGGGTTCAACTACAAGTAATGTTATAGTATGGTGAGTGAGAGCTTGAGAGAGAATGCAATATCAATAATGAGTGAAAGAGACGGAACGATGTAGTTGAAAGAGAAACAATAATGAGGAATTTTAAGTACAAGAATTATTTAATTGTGGTATAGTATAACTATTTGCCTCTAAGTGTTGTCAATTCAAAATCTCTAAATATATTTAAAAAACGATTAAGAACCATATATTAGATGATTTTACTGATCTTGTTTAATATCACTACTGATTATTATTTGTAATCTTAATTGTAGTTATAATTTTTAAAATTTCCTTTGTAAGCGAACTTTGTTCTTTTTGGAAATAATCTCCTTTAAACCTATGGTGAGTGCGAGAGACGGATCTATGTGTTAGAGAGAGAGATGAGTTCAAATACAAAAAGAATTATAGTATGGTCAGTGATAGAGATGGGTCGATGTGTGAAAGAGAGGTTGGTATAAATACAAAGAGTAAAAGAGACGGAATGATATATTAGAGAGAGAGACGGATCTATGTGTTAGAAGGAGATGGGAGTATTCGAACGAGAATTTTTACAACAAATGGAGTTAGTCAATATATTCCAGGCGGTAGGTCTAATCAAGCGAGCCATAGAACATGACAGTGAGGGTCGTCTGAAGGACGCGCTGGAGGGGTACAGGACGGGGCTGAGGTACCTGGTGCCCGCCGCCAGGGTACACACGGACCCCGCGAGGAGGAGCGCGCTGGCTGCCAAGCTGGAGAGGTGACGATATATACTACTAATATTATAATTGCGAAAGTTTGAGTGTGTGTATTTTTGTTAAGTCTTCACGCTCAAACGGATGAAGCGATTTTGATAACATTTTGTATACAGCAAGCTGACGTCCAGGAATAACACTTGGCTACTTTATATTTGGAAATCCGCGGGTAACACCGCGGGGCGCAGCTAGTATATGTGTATATATACAGGGTGTATGAAAAACTGTGTCAACCCTTTAAGGCATGTATACATATAAGTATAAGCTTATTATAAAAAATAGTATAACTTAAAAAAAATCAAGCAGAAGTTAGTTACAGTACATAGGCTAAGTAAGTTTTAAATCGACATTTTTCGAAAGAATGTTTCAAACATCTGACTCATACAAGGTCAAGACACCGTATAGTCGCTACGGCGCATGCGTGACCATTGACCGCAGGCGACGGGCCGCCGGCGTTATTATTACTATTCTGTTAGTTGTTCGAATACAGATTTGAAAGTGTAAAAATTAGTTATATCGATAAATATTCTATCGACATTTTCAATATTGGTATAAATAGTTATGCTTTTCACATTAAAATAATTTCATTTAAAATAACTTTTATTAATAATAAATATTATAATTTGAAACTTGTTCAGGTAAATTAACTACATATGTTGTATTATTAGGATAAATCGTTAATCTATTTCTGTTAAAATGATGTTTTACAATCAAACATAATAATAATGTTTGATATATCAAAATAGGTATCGAAATAATATGAATATTAAATATTTATTTATTGTTATGATTTTTTAAATATCGATATTTTCAATAATGTGAAAGTAACTTCGAGTTCGTCACTAGTAGCGCAGCAGGTGTGATGACGTCATTGCGTGTCATCGTGTTATACCAGGGTTTACAAACCTTTTGTTACTCTACATATAATAATCATTTAATATTTAATTTTATTATTTTTATTGAAGAGTTTGTAAATGTAAGTTGTTTTACTGTGTTACATTTTCGATACTGATAACGTAGTTAAGAGGGTTGACACAGTTTTTCATACACCCTGTATACATTAATGCTCTGAGTTAAGCCGACTAGACTAAATTTTTTTACATTTTCATAATTTCCAGCCATTTATATCTAATGTTTCATTAGTTACTAAGAAGGGTACTCTACTAAGAAGGGTTTGCTGTATATTTTAAAAATCAGTGGCAAGTGTTATTGTTGATAATAATATTAATTACTAAAAATCATATAAGTTAATCAGCTATCAGCGCTATCTATCGATCACTCCACACTACACAGAGTGAGACTCGGTATTCACTACATAATCATTTATTACATATACAGGGTGACTGGTGAATTACTATCAATATTTAAGGAGCATACTCGGTACATACATGATTCTCATTCGAATTATGTAAAAAAAAATAGGTACTTACTTTTTGACCAAATTTCCGTATAAATAAATAAAGTGTGGACACGTTCCAAGTGTTCCAAGTGTGGACGCGTGCGGCGGCGTAGTGTTGTATCAGCGTAGTGTTGTGTTGTGTGTGTGTGTGTGTATACCTAATCTGTAGGCTGTTCATACGATGCGTAATTAATTACATAACTTTTGGTTAACTTTACTTAGAAGTTTATTAATATTTGTGTTATATTAATTTTTATTTTGTCATATATGATCGTCAAATATCACGTCCTCAAGTATCGATAGTAATTCACCAGTCAGCCTGTATATTGTAGTTTCAACAAAATTTGTTTAATACCTTTAACATGATAGATCAAAACATATTCAATCTCACTTTAACATAAGAAAAACTATGGTATGTATAATGAGTGAGAGAGATAGAAAGATGTGTTAGAGAGAGACGGATAACATACATGTAATTTTCTTTCCAATCAGGTACATGGATAGGGCGGAGGAAATTAAGAGATTGTTAAGTGGCCAGAGCCCCACACCTTCGACGCCCATATTACCCGAAGTGACACCGCGGAGCCCTATCTGCGGGGGCTGCGCCAGCGGACAGGAATCCGGAACTAGCTATGAGTTCCGTGAGTATTATATATTTGTTAAAATACTTAGATCAAATAAAACCCTTTTTAGATGACCTCCGTATATTTAATCAACCTTCAACCGACATAACTATGATTATTCACACACAGATTAAAAAATATAGCGCGTTAAAATAGATTATAACATTTATTTATATTCAACAGTATTGAAGTAAAATTTTTGATTCTTTACGCTTGACTTGAAGTAAGCTGGTGAATGCGTTACGAAATGTTTGATCGGGCGAGACGAACTAAAGTGAGAAATATAAGTTAGTGAAGATAGATAGAGTGTTACGGTTCATACATTACTGTAGGGACAAGGTAGAGAGCAGTGCGTGCATTTTCTTTATTACTTCCTTTCATAGCCAGTGCATGAAATATATATATACATATTACATATAAAAAGAAGTATTACATCGGTCGTGTGGTCTAAAGCACACTGGTTTAATTTTTATATATATAAATTGGTAATAATTTCCTATTATAACAAACATTCCATTTATATTCCAGGAACTAGTATTTAATTTTATTTTTTCTCATTATTAATATTTTTGTAAGTTGAACAAATTTGTTAGAGGAATAAAAAACATTTATCTTCTTTATTCTTTATTCCAGAAGAGATTCGCACCATTCAAGAAACTTATGCCGAAGAAGCGACAGAGACCAATAAAAACACGAACAACGAAGAAAATAAACAAAACGATGAAGTAAAGAGATATTATATATATAAAAATTATTTACTATATTATATGTACTTTATAAAAATTATCATATTCATATATTTATCCAAAAAAACAGGTGAAAACCAAAAAAGACAAACGCGGAGCATTCGCAAGGTTCCTGCGTAGACCGCTACCAGATATCACGAACAAAGATGTGGTGAGTATAAAATAATATATTATATAGATGGCGCTGTTAATAAAGGTTAACCGTTAATATATGTATGTGTTATGAAATGATTTAAGTAGTTCAGCCGACTGTCGCTAGATAGCGCTAGTAGTAAATGTGTTATGCAATGATATAAGTAGTTCAACCGACAGTCAATAGATGGCGCTCTTTATAAAAGAGAATTATGTTTTTTATTTTATTATTGAATAGGTATATATATGCTTTGTTTTATCTTTCAGGAAGAAACGACCCAAAGAACAGAAGATAATGATAATTGTAAAATAACTTGATTCTACATATATATTAAAATAATTTTTTGTTCTTTCCTTCAAAGGGAATATTAGATTTCATTAAAAACTGTTTTAAAGTACATAATATATATTATATTTTTGCACAACATTTGCCTTCGGCGTTGCCCGTTTATAAAGATATATAATTATTAAAGTATTTTACAACGCAAAGTTTTAATACGCTTGAAAAGAGGCATAATATTTTTAATACACTAAGTGATCTTTTTGTAATGAGTTTTATTAAAGGCTTGAACCAGTATATCTCCATATTACCATAAGTTTGATACTACAAACTACAAGTCTGGAGTTTTAACCAAGTTAATATAATAATGAACATTTATATGTCGAACATACTTCAAACGCCACTTGGGTAGTTTAAAGTTTCTGGTAATCTTGTTTAAGTTGTAAATGATAGAAGTTTTATTTCAATGTAGCTATATTAAGTTTTGTGAAGTCTTGCCATTAATAAAACTGTGATTTGTTATATTGTGTTTATTTATTATTAGTAATTATTTTTATATTTCAAATATTTCTGAAAAATCAAATCCTAAACAAAATATATGACTGGCTTGATAAATTTAAAACTTAATTAATTAAAAGAACTAAAATATACATTTATTTACAAAATATTACAAGCAATGTTCAAAATTTTAAACAAAATTCTAAAGATATCACAGAATAATTTAAATCTTTTATTTAAAGTTTATAGTCTTCTCTCTCTCATTTACCTCAGATGAATTTTATTTGACGCACATGAGATATTTATTGACAGATATATCTTCGGATAATATTGTATCTGTATGAGACGAAACCTCTCATCATTCAATGTATTCACGGTGCGTGTGTCGGGTCCATCGTTGTAGTGAGAGGAGCTTCAACAGTGACTGGGACTTGTGACCCAGGTGTAGGTTTAAGGTGTTTGTGTATCTCTTCTAAACCAAATTTGAAAAGAACCTACTAGGACTGCCTTCGAAGTACGTGCCAAGAAAGTATTAATGTGAGTTCTGGACAGGCCCAAATCTTTTAGTAGGTTGTAGAGAGATTTAGCTGTTATACCTCTCGCTCCCACTTCTACCGCGTACAAATCCACGACGAACCTATTTCGAGTTAGTTCGTTAGTGAGCTCGTAATACTTATTGACCTTGATGGTATGGTCTTTGGGGATGTTGGTTTCCCAAGGAACCGTAAGGTCTATCATCACAAATCATCAGTTAAAATTCTCGAATACATAAATATCTCCATTCTGGAGACTTACGCAAATATCCTCTAGGTTTTTGTATTGTTTTTCATACGTGTCCATCATTTTAGTCCATTATTAAAATAACGCATATATATGTATAATTTAATAAACTTTTTCGCATAAATCTAAAATAATCTCAACTCAATAAACTCTGGTCTCTTTTCTACTCCAACCTCCTTTGATGCATGAAGGTCGTCCTTCAATCAGATCTTTCATTCTTATTTCAGTGAGACATTGCTTTCAAAACATGTCACAACAAAACATGGTTAGATATATAAACATTATTTAATTTAAGCGATCTTCATGACAGAGGCGACAGACCTACAGACTGGTAAGTGTTACAGTTTTTTGTATTTTTAATACAAATGTAGATTTATTTTGGCACTTACCTTTTGCCTCATCATTTATGCTTAGGAAGTCCTATCAAAAGTTTGCTTTTAAATTTAATTCATTTAGTTATTAGATTTAAGACTTGTAAGGTCAAAATAATAATTAAACAAATAGAATATAAAATATTGTGTAAATATAAATATTTAAGTTTAAATAATGAATCAGAATTATATATGTTTAATATAATTGACATCTGTAGTATTTCTTATGTACTACAAAATCAGAGACTGAAACGATATATTACGGAGACTACCGGTTCGTTACGTGCTTATATCGATTAAATTTTTAATTAAATTTTTTATGCAAACAAAAAGTTGTAGAGCGTAGCTGTGATTGACGTGAAATAGATTTTAATGGCTGTGTTTCGTCAGATGAGTGAGAGAGACCTTTACCTTTTCCCGACCTTTTCTGTTCCTCTTCTCCAATCAAGGGCAGCAACGCATCCATCTACGACGGTACTATCTCCACCAAGTAGGCCAGCAACGCATCCATCTACGACGGTACTATCTCCACCAAGTAGGCCATCTACTAGAAGTATAATGCATAATAATCATCATCAGCCTATCTGAATTCTGAGCCCACTGCTGAGCAAAGGCCTGTTCTCACATTGAGAAGATTTGAGCATTAATCACCACGCTTGCTTAAGATTTGGCGCGGTTTGGCGATTTCAAACTTATAATTGGAATTATAAGTCCAGGTTTCCTCACGATGGTTTCTTCATCTATCAGTGGTGTCTAAATACTCTTATACATATGTCTCGGAAAAATCACATTAGTAATTGCCAAGTTTCGAACCCGCGTACGTCCTCGTGCAGAAGAGGTGGGCCTTTAGGCCACCACGAAGTTTTAATACAAAATATGTTGTCATAATACCGTAGAATCTCTGAGACGAGCCCCTTCATAGTGTTCACTGTGCTGATAGTCAAATTTCTCAATGAAGTTTTTACAACCGAAGAACCAGAAAAAGAGAATATGTAATTAATACGTGGTCAATATTTAAAAATATTATCCTGACTGGTTAATTAGACGACAAATACTTGGCCATTCAACAGAAAGATATATAAATATAAGTATAGACTAACTGATGAATAGCCAGGAACCTTGAAGGATTTATAAAGTCTTCCCACAAATTATTTAATGAAAACTATCACGAAATTTCAACTCAAGCAGAAATAAAGGTGGGATAAAGATACAACAGATACAAAGTGATGCATGATTCTCTGAACTGCAACGTCTTCAACTAGGAAGATCATCATCATCATAAAAAACTCTATAAGACATCCAAATAAAAGAATATATATGTATATATTTCAGATAACATTGCCCAGCATCAAAAGCGCGTTATGGGCAAGTCAAGGGCTGAGGGTCCAGCCTTTGCAAACGCGTTCAGGGTACGAGGACCACTCCACGGAGAAGATTCTTGCTGCGCAAGAAACCTTCGGTGTATCATCATAACTGGATTCTCGTTGTTAACTCTCGGTTTGGTTATTGTCATGATCATCGCTTTAGTGAAGTACTTTGATTGAAATAAATTGATTCCGTTTTAAAATGAACTTTTTATTTCTTCCCATCTATCACATTAGAATTACAATTTTATGGTGGTAGAGCCTAGCTGTAGTTACTGCAGCTCGAACATTTGTTGGCTCGACCGTAAGTACCACCCTCTCACAGAAGATCGTGGTGAAGTAGTCTTTAATGGATGCGTTTCATATTATGAGTGAGAGAGATGGTTGCTCTTTCCCTGTTCTCACCCTTTCCTTTCCCTCCTCTTCAATCAAAGATGGTAACTATCTTCATCAGGTAGACCGTCTGTCCTTTTGCCTCCTTTAGGATAAAATTCAAAACAATTAGTATAATGCACAATATGTTGTCATAACATCGCAGTAGCCCTAAGACGTGCTCAGTCCCCGTTCTACAAGATCTGCGCCAAGGAGTTCTGTTGCAGCGGCGTGGGTTGGCTCGTCATCCTGGGACTAGCCAGCACCTTCATAGCATTCACCGTGCTGATGGTCAAATTCCTCAATGAAGCCAAACCTGTGAGCATTCATAAGTATTTACAAAAGAGGAACCAAAAAACATTATTATTATTACAATTATACGCTTATTACTGGGAAATTCATTAGAAAGATATATAAGTACAAGTATCCATTTACATTTAGGTTTAAAGAATTTATAGTCAAAAAGACATAGTCACTTTCATGAGAACATACATACAAAAGTGAAAATACAAAAGTCGCCAGATTATTTGGAACTCAATTAAAGATAGTAAGATTACAAGTATGTTACATCGTTGGTACATAAATTGTTTTCTAAAATATGTTGAGAAAGCTGAAATTTAAATTCGTTAATTGAATTTGCATTTCTTATAGTAGACCGTAATTTGTTGTAAAGTTGTGCTCCCTCAGATGTCATATCCTTTTTTGCAAATTTTATCCTAGTTTTTGGGAGAACTAGTAAGCTAGGTTACTGACTTGTTTCATAAATGACAATTTAGAGTGCACAGATTTATTAATCATTTTTCTTATTAGAATGCAGGAATTGTATATATAAAGTTGTTTTAAATAATTAATAATATTCGTTTCTTCAAAAATTTTAACTGTAGATGTAGATAACGGATATTTAAAGAGTATTTTTATTATTTTATTTTGTTTTCTTTGAAGTTCCTGTAATTTTGTTTTATTAGCATTACCCTATACTTCAATTAAGTATAACAAATGGGATTTAACTAAAGAGTTGTAAATATTATAGTGTAGTTTTTGTGGTATGCACCTAGAAATATTCTTTAGTGACCCAACCAAACCAAATAGTAAATTGCTAGGAACCTTGAAAGCTTGACAAGGTCTCCTTCACAAATTATTTAATGAACACTTTCACCGAATTAAATTCAAAAGGAAATGACGGAGAAGTAAACACAACAGATACAAAGTTATACAATAATTGTTTCACTAAGATATGGGCTTTATAAAACATTCAAATAAAAGAGTTATCTTCATCATATTGATTTTTATATTTCAGATAACTTTGGCCAGCATCAAAAACGCGTTATGGGCAAGTCAACGCCTGAAGGTCCAGCCTATGCCAACGCGATCAGGGCCCAAGGACCAGTCCGCGGAGAAGATTCTTGGTTCGGGACACACTTTAGGTGTATCGTTATAACTGGTATCTCATTGTCAGCTGTCGGTGTGGTTGTAATATTGATTATCGCTTTGGTAAAGTTCTATGCTTGATATAAATTGATTTCGTTTTAAAATTAACTTTTTATTTCATCTCCATATATTGTTACATTACAACTTTTTTTATATGAAAGGTGGCAAACGAACAGACGGCCCACTTGATGATCAGTAGTCACTGTCGCTCATGGAAATTCACGACATTAATGTTGCAAATGCGTTATTACGTTATTTCTTAAAACAGAAAGACCCTTAAGTAGGGACTGAATAAATCAAACGACTTGTTATTACGTACATAGATCTCATAGTTATACTACTGTAGACTGTTTTGGGAAAAGCGATTTATTTTTCTCATTTAATTTTGTTGAAAACCTCATTTCTTTGTTTTTAAGTTTCTTTTCTCGAATTTTCAATAAGAACACTCTCTTACTTATGATATTAGCATCATATCTTTATCAAGAAAACTGGACGAAAATTGCAATATGTTTTAGTTTTTTCTTCTTTTATACACTAATTACTATTTTTATTAAAAATATGAGGATTCTATGTCCACTAGAAGTGCCTCAGAGCTTGATTAATGAGAGAGTGACAAAATTAAGCAGAATTAAGAACTTGGACTAACAGGCGGTTAAAATAATAATCGTATATACGAAAATATTACTTTTATTTTAATAACATATTACATCTCTTGAAGAGTTATCGCAAAATAAAACTATATTAAAAGAAAAAAATCAAACTTGCATAAGTATAATATTATGAACGGTACATTCGGCACAAAAACATTTTATTTTAGACCACTATTATTTCTGTTCAATTATTTATCTTTATACTTAATTGTATACAATATAAAAATTGTCTGCTTGTACCAATGGTTAAAACATCGAATTAAATCTATTATAAAAATTCTCAGTCCATCTGTCTATTTGATGATAATACTTATAAGACGAAACTATCTTGACTTCTTTGAACACACAAATAAAATATGATAAAGTAAAAATATAAAAGACAAAGTCACGAGTACCAGCTTGTCTACCAGTGAAGAACAAATTGATAAGAACGTACTTGTCATTCAACAAAATTGATAACAATTGTATTGTTACTTAATAATAAAATCATGTTTCACACTTTAAAGTACAGGTTCCCACGAATGAACTGAGATATACACTTATATATATTACAAAAGAATAATAATAGCAGAAGATAATGATGCTATACTTGGAGATTACGCTTTAGTGATCTCTGTTGGCACCGGAGTGTACTTGAGGCCTGTGTCACATAGCAGGGTCACCACCCAGGCGTCCTTCTTCAACTTCCCAGACTGCAGCAGCTTCGCCGCAGCCAGGACATTTGCTGCCCCCGTGTAGCCCACGAACAGACCTTCCTTTTCTCCGATCAACTTCTGGTACTCCAGGACTTCTTCGTCACTGACGCTTATGGTCTCGTCCAGGTGTTCATAGTTGAACAAGTTTGGAATACATCCGTAACCCGAACCTTGCAGTAAATGCATTGGCTTCGTTATTTCACAGCCTCTGATGGCTTCACAGCCTTCTGGTTCCACGACCGCACATATAATGTTCGGATCCTTTTCCTTGAGGTATCTGGAGGTCCCAGCGAAGGTTCCTGCTGTGCCGACTGCGGCCACGAACCCGTCGACTCTCTGGCCAGTCTGTCTCCAGATCTCTGGGCCCGTAGTGTCATAATGAGCTCCAGAGTTCATCTCGTTGTTGAACTGGTTGACGTAGTACGCGCCGGTCTCTTCCACCAACTGCAAACCTTTCTCCTCCACCACGCCCACATCCGCGGACGTGACTTTACCGTACGTGCCATCAACCTGTGGAACCCTCACACACTTGGCTCCGAGAGCCTCCATGTGTATCGCTCTCTGCACGCTGTTCCCTGCAGACATGGTCACGGTCAAAGGATGTCCCAGCACCGCGCACACCACCGCCAGACCACACCCCTGGTTCCCGGAGGTGATCTCCAGGACCGGTTCCCCCGGCTTCAAAGCTCCGGACTCCAGCGCCTTAGTGATCATGTGAAGCGAGGACCGGCATTTGATGGACGCTCCGGGATTCATGAACTCACATTTGGCCAGGATCCTTCCAGGGCCAGGCCAGAGCCTGTCCAGCGCCACGAGTGGAGTGTTGCCGATCAGCTCCAAGGCCGATGCTTTGATGTCCGTGCTCCCGCTCGTGTGAGACATTGTAACGTCGAGTGTCTTGTGTGAAGCCGCGAGTCCTACTGAATCAATTGACCGCGCGGACGACTCTTTAACACTTATCTGTGACGAGGCGAGCTTCTCGGTTAGTCATAGTCACCTCGCTCAGCCGATGTTAATCTGTCCTACTGATATTATATATATTAAAGTTTGGACGGATGTACGGGTGTTTGTCACACTTCAACACGGAAACTACTGAGAGGATTCTTAACATAATATTGCTTGGACATTACTATAAGGAGTCAACTATAATTAGGAAGTGTCAATACAATAATAATTCTGTTTAATTTACGTAATTTCTTCAGAGTATAACAGTTGTATATTTTATTAAATCAGATGACAGACACTATAAACACTTGGTTTGTTGCTTTTCATTTCTATTTTTCTTTCAAATCTTCTCTGTTTTACTCTAACTCTATTTTCTCTTATATACTCCAGGCGTAGTCACGGTCTAAAGCTTGTATAATATATTTCGACATCATGACTCGTATGTATCCAACTGGTACTCAATGTAACCAAAGTGCTAATTCATCTTAACTTGGAGATATTAGTTAACAAATATTAAGAGATACAGCTGTCTCATCGTGTTTATCAATGACTGATAAAAAATATACGAAATAAAACATATTAAGTAAGAGGAATTAATGAAAAGATTTGACATTACAGTCTTCTGTTACTTTATATAATAACACGCAAAGTAAATATTGAGTTACTTATTATATGAGGTAAATACATAAGAAATAGGCTTTTTACAAGGGAGTAACCTGAAGTTGATTTATTTTAATATTATATTTATATAATCAAAATATGTATGTGTCATTGCTATTTATGGACTTTTGACATATTACACAGATAGTTCATTGACTCCTTTAGTAAGAAAAACCAAGGGAAGAGGTGTCAATAAAGGCTTTGAAGGAGCTTTTGACTGTCTCAGGGAAGTTATCTTATTCTCGAAAGAAATGATAATATATTGGAGCAAGGTCCGGGGAGTAGAGTGTATGACTCAATGAGACATTTCAATTGAAGCTCTTCTAATTTGATATTTTCGTTTGTTTAGATTTTAGTGTATGGTCTAGCGTTGTGTTGAAGCAGCAGTGGCATACAGTGATTGACCAGCCTCGGTTTAGCAGCTAGCTGTTCCATCATGGTTTGTATTACTGACAATACATCTGTCACAATCGTTGGGCCATATTAAAGAAAGCTGGAGTGAACAACACTGGCACTAGTCTACCAAACGCTCACAAGTAACTTTTTATGAGTTAATGATCGCTTGGGGCAGGATTTCACTGGTTCTCAAGGGTTCAACCATTACGATGAGTGTTTCAGATCAGCGTACAAGATCCACTATTTATCATAGGTAGTAACTCTATTAAAAATACCTTTATTATTCACATATACCTGCTATTTTAATTACTATTTAACTATTATTAAAACAGTACATTTTAACTGTACTCTTTGAATAGATAACTTTAATCAAATTATTTTTTGTTCTTATTAAACATCGCTTCCTTGTTCCGGTTTGATAAGAGATATCACAGCAATATCGGAAAAATGATCCTAAAATTTATATTTAAATAACAAATATTAGAGGTATAATGATGGAGAGTAATAATCTTTAATATTGTATAAGAGCTGACTGACTCACTGAATGGTTCTTTGAATAAATACAGTTATGACAAAAAGACAAGACAACGTTTTATTAATTGATGTTTTACATAATATAGAGAAACTAATTATACAGGGTGACTGGTGAATTACTATCAATATTTAAGGAGCATACTCGGTACATGATTCTCATTCGAATTATGTAAAAAAAATAGGTACTTAATTTTTGACCAAATTTCCGTATAAATAAATAAAGTGTTGACACGTTCCAAGTGTTTCAAGTGTGGACGCGTGCGGCGGCGTGCTGATACAAAACCACGCCCCCGCCGCGTGTGTGTGAGTGTGTGTGTATACCTAATCTGTAGGGTGTTCACACGATGCGTAATTAATTTTATAACTTTTGGTTAACTTTACTTAGAAGTTTATTAATATTTATGTTATATTAATTTTTATTTTGTCATATATGATCGTCAAATATCACGTCCTCAAGTATCGATAGTAATTCACCAGTCACCCTGTATAGGGTGGCAACCAGAGGTTCAGAAAAACTAGGAAACTTATATGTATATTATAATGAGGATTACATATTAAAACTTATAACCTACACCTAAGACTACATGATTGACCCGATGTTAATTTTTTATTTTATTTTATTTATTTAGGAACACCAACAGTACACATATGCAACATTTACACAAAAATACAGTCAAAAGTATAGGTCTTCATATGTACACCTATTACAGGTATTCACAACACTGTCTAAAAAGTTTTATAACAACGATAACACCTTAAATTAGTACTACACAAAAAACAACACTATTTAATAAACAACAACACATAAATTAAAAGTGAAACAGTTACAATTTTAGAGAGTAATATTTATGCAAAGTATGTTTGAATTTTGAAAATGAATCATGAAACATGTCCAAATCTGTTATCTCTTTATTTTGGAAATTGTATAAGTTGTACATCTTAGCAAGTGGAGAAGACGCACCTAGATTTGTTCGAACTCTTGGATGGTAAAAAATTTTAGTAATGCGTTGACGAGGAATTTTATTAGGTACCGAAATAGAAAGCTGAGCTAGTAGATGGCTGGTATCAATGTTACCATTTACATTTTAAACATAGAATAGAATAGAATATACTTTATTGTACACCACAAA